GAAAAATCCAACTTTAGCATAAAAAGTCAGAACAGAATATGTGGACTTTAGACATTCATTTTTTCTTCTAATCTACAGAAATTAATAATTCACCCCAGAACCACATTTTTGGCAATTGAACTATTCATTCGAGTATCTCACTAAGCTTTATTTATCCCTTTATTTCATAGATCAGAGCATTTGCTCACATAGTTCTGCTACCCTCCTGTCTGCTCTTGTTACGCAGGCAGCCAGGACACAAACTGCCCACTGCTGGATGTTGCTGGTGGGTATCCTCAAACCTGAGCGCCTCTCTCCTCTCCCCTTTTATTCTATTTCTGCTGCTAAAACTTCCTCACCCTGCTAGGGACCTGGGTTTCCAGTTATCTCCCCCTCTGTGAGCATTCCCAGGTGCTGCAAATCTCTTTATTGTTGTTGCTGCCTGCCCTTATTCTGGCAGATGCTAGAGCTCTGCAAGTTGCAGGATCTTACCTCTGAGCCCCTCTTTGTCGCTGCCTGTGACCACGCTGGAAGCAGGGAGGGATGGATATTAGGGAAGCATGAGCCTGCCCTTGCTGTTTGGCAGTGTGGTCTGCAAGGAAAGATAGAGATGCTGCTCTCTCCTCCTCCCCGTCGCTGTCCCAGCTTCCTCCTCCCTCCTCCTCGCCCACAAACTCTGCTCCTCTCGGAGCTTCGGCAGGACGCGCTGCCCCTCAGCATCAGCTACCTAAGGCCAAGACACAAACCCTTTGCCCTCCCCCTGCCTTCCCCTCTCTGGGCTCACGCATCCTCACCCCTGCTTCCCGCTGAATGTGGTATCTTCCCAACTGCATGTGCCCAAGCTGGCTCTGGAGTCTAAAGCACAGATGATTTCAGCTGCCCTGGGAGGCAAAAGGGCGATAAAACAGAAGAGGTGAAAGAGTTATAAAATAGAGGATGTAGAGCAAAGACCAGGGAGATAAAGAAAAGGAGAAAATAGCCTGGAGAGCTGGAAACTTTTGCTAAATTTATTTGTGTGTATGAAAAAGTCAGCTCACAGTAGCCAAAACCTGCCATTTGGAAATTAAGTTTAAAAATCCATAAATGACAGAAAACAGGCACCTTGTTATCTGCCAAGTCCAGTTTACCTGTTTTTGAAATTCTTTGCTTATCTTTCTATTTTTCTTTTAAAGAACTTTTCTTACGGAAGTTTCTAAACTTCTGCAAAACTAGATTAATTACCATTATAATCTGACAATGCAGTAGCTAATGAAAGTGAAAAAGTTACCACTGATATTTTATTACACGCTATGAAATAACAGTTTTTGTGAAAGAAAAGAGTTGTAAGTGCTCTGACTTTTCATCTTGGGTAATCTTGGGTGGTCCTTTTTTTCATTTTCAGACATTCTTACAACAAGTAACTCCTTCAGGTGACCAGTAAGTGGTTCACAAAAATCACATAAAAGTGTCCCTAGCCACTATGTTTTTCTTAAGGACCTAATTTTATACATCTAACGAGCTCCTTCTAAAGTGCCTGTGTTTGTTACCAGGACTGTGAAGAGAGGTAGGTGATTCTGAAGACTTCTGAAAGACTTTATCGGCGTAGGGATAAACCCTTAGTTAAGTGGACAGGATCTCCCTCTGGAGGCCTTGAGAGGCACCTGACGTCTCTGTTGTTTTATAAGGATGTATCAGGCACTTCCTATATAAAATTTGTTTTATTAGGTATCTAAAATTAAGAGTTAGCTACTAGAAGGCCAAAGTCAGACACAAGGAATGTGCAGCAAGTTTATGATAAAATCTATCATAAGACTTCAGATATCTTCATTTGCATTTTCTTATTGTCGGTGGCCTCATAAGTCAACCAGGAGTCATGATCCATCCGCGTATGGTTGGCACAAGCCAGTCCACAGGGCAGAGGAGCAACTGCTCAAACATCCACTATATTAATACAAAATATTGATCACTCCTACCGAAACATTTGATCAATATGTGAAACACATGAGAACACATAGTCTTCATCTTCATTCATCTTCATCCTCATCTGCTTGGTCATTTCAGATGGCCACTCCATTTGAAAAGGATATAACCCAACAGAAAAATAATACGGAAGGGTGACTACAAACTTGAAATAACTCCACACAATCTGTATTAAATAGGCTAGGAGTCTTTAAACTAGAAAAGAGGCAACTGAGCTGACATACTAAATATATATGAAGTTACAAATGATATGGAGAAAGTGACTTAAAAATAATTCGTAGTATTTTCTCATAACACAAGGATTACAGAGCATTCAATGAGATCATCACGAAGTATATCTGAAACTAAATGAATTAGGTTTTTTTCAATCACTTTATAAATTAATTGTGGAACTCACTGCTACAAAATATGATAGCAGCCAAAATTAACAATAGTTTCAAAAATAAATTAAATTAACATGTGGAGATAGGTCCACCAGCAGACAGGCCAGATACAGGGAGCCATCCAGTTCAAGAATTCTCTAAACTCTTTAATCCAAAGGATACTCTCTAGCTATTACTCTCTAGCTAAATAGCTATTACTCTCTAGCTATTCTAGCTATATCCACTTCTTAAGCTATTCCACTTTTAATCCAAAGGATACTCTCTAGCTATTCCACTTCTTAAGCTATTCCGCTCCTTACACTAAACTAAGATGGCTGTTGCTAATGTTCGTTGTAATGGAGAGAATAGAAACAACATGCTTTGGTACCATGTATTCTTATGAAGCAAAATTTTCTGTGACCAATCCTGTGTCCTTTAAAAAAAAAAATTCTAACAATGTTATCAGTAATGTGAGATAAAAAATCTTCATATGAAGCCTCAATTCAGTATTGCAGTAGTCAACCAAGTTTCATAAAGATGCTAAACATTTTAGAACAATATGCTGCATAAAACTTTAAAAATATAATCAAGCAGAGATTTATTATACCCTTCTTAAATAACTGTACAGTTTTCATCGGCCGTGTTCAGCCCAAGTCTTCTACCACAGATACTCTAACAGCCTCCACTGTTTCTTCATTGATCAAACAGAAATCATACACCACTACAAAGATGCAGTAAATGGCACTGAGGGCATGCCAGATAAAAAGCATCTACATTCTCAAGAGAATTAAATTAGCAATAAATATTATTTTCCCTGAAGGCTGACTGTGCCTTTTAACTTCCAATGACAGGCCATTGAAAGAGGTTCTTAGCCTCATTAGAGCAGCTACACTCTGAACTCTAGTAGCAAAAGACAACGTTGACCTGTACAATTTCAACAGCTAAATCATATTTTTGGCAGAGGAGGAACACAGAGATCAGGGGAATCGCCCAGGGGTTGTCATGGCAGCCATGAAATTCTGAATAATCCCAAAGACTCCTTCCCTGTATGAACAGAGTAAGCGCCTGCTTTACACTTCCAGGGCCGGCCAGGACCTTAATTACTTCAGCTGAGTATAAATTTTAGCACATATTTTATTTCAGCTATAATTGCTCAGCCTCAGTGTTCTTCTATTTTATGTCAAACATGCAGAAGCTTTTTTCTACAAGTCTGCAGAAACTCACTCTGTTTAAAGTCTTCAAACAAAAGGCAAATCTGCCCAAATCCTTATAGGAAACTATTTGCATCATTGAACATAAGATACTTTTTAAGTGTCTGTTACCTGTTTTCTAATTTGTCCCTGACTTGGCCTCTGGCCTTCTTAAGCCTTGTAATAAACTACTGAGAAAAATTTGTATCATTCATTTTACAAATATTCTCTGAGATAATAAAAATTATATAAGCAACAACATTTAAAAGGAAAACACTAATCCACTATAATCCTCACAGGCAGAGAAAGAGTAACTGAGAATGTGCTTCTGTCAGTAGTGATATATTTAGAAAGCCACAAGAATAAGGACGCAATGACATTACAGATAAATATGTAAGAGAAATAAAATCTTCACTGTGGATTCTAGACTTAGTACTGGACATATTCACAAACTGCAAATGAAGGTGAGCACCAGATTCTCACTAACTGATTAAATTAACCATGTAATATAATGTAATATTTCTAAAACAGAACTCTGTTACTGTTGAAATACTAGAATTTAAGGCATCTTTGACAGCTTTACAGAAGTCATGCTAGGCACCTAACAGATATCTACTTAAAATGTTCTCATCTGCAGAGGAAAGAAATAATCCAGTTTTTATGTCCAGATGTTGAATGAACTCCTGAACTTCCCCCTTCAAAATCAGTACATTTAATTATCTGAATCCCAGATGCTAAATACACGGTCCACCAAGTGGGTCTAGCCTATCAGGACAATTAATGTGGCTTATAGCCTTTTCTCTCCCTTTTTCTAGGACACACGGTTCTTTCCCACTTCTCATCTAGAACAGCCCTCATTACCTGACAAAGAAGCATTTTTTCCTACTGCATGATGGATATGAATCCAGTCATTTCTAGAGAAACAAAAGCAGGAACAAAAATCCCCACGACATTTTATTGTGAAACTGTGAAAACGAATGTACTATAAGCATTTTCAGTCATATTACATGCTTATCACCTGGCCAAAACTACAGACATCCTCACACAGATATGTGGCTAAAGGTGTACAAAACTTAATGCACTTACCCACATTTTAGTTAGAAATTTCGTGTCATGTAGTAATTGTTATTCCAGATGAGTAATGGGAAAGAACTGACCTAAAAAAAGAGAGAAAGAAAAGTCTATAGGCCACTTTTTCAAAGAAATTAGAGGAATAGGATCATGGCAATTTCATTCGCTGCATTAAAAATATGAAGTTAATTTTTTTTTGCTTTACTAGGGTGTATCTTCAGAAAAAAATGGCATTTATAAAGAAAAAATCTACTATTATTAGTTAGAATTTACCTCTCCAACAGAATGCACTCAAAGGTTCTCACTGGTTTACGCAAAACTGAATTTTGCCATTTCATAGACAGTAACTCATCACTTGTGACGGCTACAACCTGCTTTGCTTCTGTTGGCAAAGCAGGAGGGGAAGGACATAGGGGTAGAAACGTCTGCTTGTCTGAGGATGGAGGTGGTCTAACCTTGTAGATTCCTTATGGGATGTTTCGGGGGCAGTCAAAGTGGGGAAAGGACAAGGATCAAGGTGGTTTGGGGAAGGCTGCCACTCAGGGTCCTGGCTTGGGAGCCTGATATGCGTGTGTGTGTGTGTCTGAGGGGCAATACCGGCGATTCACTTCCTTAACCTAAATGGAATTAAATTACACTAGTCATTTTATTTTATTTTTTTGTTGTTGTTGTTAAGCAGATGATATTTAACTTTTAAACATCGTCCTTCAAACATTTAGTGAAACCACTTTTCTTGCATACGCCAGTTTGGACAGATCAGAGACAGGGAATGGAATTAGTGCCCCCCGGTGGCAGCTCAGGAACCAGTGCAACGAGGTGAGCAATCTCCAAGGGGTAACAAGCAAACCTTGGACTTTTACCTGTCTAGTACAGTTAATGGTGGAAATACTGGAAATATTACAAAAAGCTGAAAAGCTCTTTTCATATCCAATAAGAGTAAGTGGGTATAATTTACATTCTCATAGACAAATGTATTAACCAAAGACTTAATGCGGGAGAGATTTAATTTTCAGCTTTACTAAAAGTGAATCGTAATGCACTAGAATCAAACTCTTGTTCAGCGAAATGCTATACGTGAAATTCCTCGCAGTCCAATCAGTTTCTTCCAAACCTAGTTTTCCTTTAAAATAAGAAACAGATTTGTCACTTTTCATGTGAATGCAGACCAGCCTTCCTGGAACTGAATCACTGTGGCATTTTCTGATGCTCAGTAACGTATTTTGACAAGCCCATCAATAGAGAGGCACAGGAACAACAGAATTTGATCTCATGACTGGCTAGAAAAACAGTACAATATTATTTTCTAAAAGACATAAATGCTAACACCATGTTTTTCACAGGAGTTAAAAAGGAAATACTTGTGTCCTAATCCTCATATTATCATACTTAATCTGTTCAACAATCATCAAAATCATATGCAAAGATTTTTATGTTGCAGAGTACATTTGCTACATAAACTCCATGACATTACAAACCATTTTGCTGTTCCATCTGGAAAACCTGTTTTATTGCAGTGAGTTTATACAACCTGTGATAACAAATGTGGATCGGTCTTCCAGTCAACAATGTGAAAAGAGGTAGGATGGAGGATGGAATTTTCTGCATAGTGAGGAATTTTTAATTCATGGCTCGCATAATATTTGTCCTTGTAGAGGCACACAGCACTGAGGTAGGCTGTTTTTGTGTGCTAATCAATTTGTAACAACAACACAAATCAGGGAAAGCACTTTGTAACTCCTCAAAAGTATGATTTCTATGTATCAGGAGACATAAAGGCTTGATTTGAAGATGCTGATGTTGCTTGTCTGTATTCCCAGGAGAGCTGAGATGGTGCAAATGCAAAACAACATATCACTGAGAGGAAATGCTAGCGTGACATTCCTGGTTCATATTTGTGTCTTCCTTTCTTCCTTCCATTCCTTCCTTCCTTCTTTCATGTCATGATTCTTGATAACTTTTTTAAGGTGATGAATCTATATTGCACTTGGGGCAGAGCGGCTGGAGAGCTGTGCGGCAGAGAAGGATCTGGGGGTGCTGGACATGAGCCAGCAGTGGGCCCAGGTGGCCAAAGAGGCTAATGGCCTCCTGCCTTCTATCAGGAACAGCGTGGCCAGCAGGACCAGGGAAGTGATCGGCCCCCTGTAGTCGACGCCGGTGAGGCCGCACCTTGAACGCTGTGTTCAGCTTTGGGCCCCTCACTACAACAAGGACATTGAGGTGCTGGCGCGTGTCCAAAGAAGGACAACGAAGCTGGTGAAGGGGCTGGAGCACAGACCTTATCAGGAGCGGCTGAGGGAGCTGGAGTTACTTAGTCTGGAGAAGAGGGAGCTCTGGGGAGACCACATTGCTCTCCACAACTGCCTGAAAGGAGGTTACAGTGAGGCAGGGGTTGATCTCTTCTCCAGAATTACTGTCGATAGGGCAAGAGGAAATGGCCTCAAGTTGCACCAGGGGAGGTTCAGGTTAGACATTAGGAAGAATGTCTACACAGGAAGAGCAGTCAAGCATTGGAACAGGCTGCCCAGGGAAGTGGTGGAGTCACCGTCCCCGGCAGCGTTCAGGAAACGTGTAGACGAGGCGCTGAGGGGCGTGCTTTAACAGGCATGTGCTGAAGGGCTTATGGCCGGACTCGATGATCTCGAAGGTCTCTCCCAACCATACGGGCTCCCCATCCCGCTGCACAGACACAGCCCCCTGAGCTCCGCTCCGCTCCA